CATATGGATAGTTGTCTCACAGACTAGGGTTCTCGCACCGAAACGACGGATGTCCAGCAACCCACCATCAATACGGTGCTCCACACGAATACCGTAATCACAAAACATCATTGCATAGAGATAAATATTTAAAAGGGCAGGAGTTAATACATAGCCTTGCTTCACACCAGAGATAACTGTAAAGTCATCCGAGGTCTGTCCACTCAGCTGCACCCTCGCCCGCATAACACTGTGCAGACATTCTATTAAGCTTACAAAATTACGTGGTCAACCAAACATACCCAACATCAGCCACAACTGACGAGCCGAAGACCCCCATATTCATAGTGCTGCAACCCGAACGGAATCTGCACTGCTCTTCCGCCACGTTCGGTTCCACAACCTGACTGACGAGACGGTTGAGCAGGATTCGGGCAATCACCTTGCCCACACAACTCAGCAAGTTGATACCACGATAATTCGTGCAACATTGCTTGCTTGCTTTGCGCTTGTACAATGGTAGCATAAGGGCATCCTTCAACTCAGCAAGCACCTCCTCAAGCCATACACGTTGCACCAAGTGCTGCAGTACAGTCACCAACGCAGGTCTGCCGTGTTTTACTACTTCAGGCGGGATCTCGTCAGCACCGGCACACTTGCCGTTTCGCAGCTGAGCAAGTGCTCTCTGCGTCTCATCCAGTGTGGGCCCGTCTGCCAGACTAGCCTTCACATCGCGCTGTTTCAGACCATTCAAAGTAGGCCAGTCGATCTCTAAACGAATGTTTCAGAGACATTCAAAATGCGTCCGCAATATCTGCATTATATCTGCAGTCTGTGTGCAGATAGCGCCTGAGCTACCATCGATCAGCGTCTTTAGCGGCTCCAATCTCGGTCCATACGCCGCCTTCAAGGAGTCAAAGAATTCCTTGTGTTGGCGGTGTTCGGCGTAGCATTCCATCTTCTTCGCCTTCTCCGTACACCATGCATTTTTAATGCCACGGAGCTCTTGGGTCAGTCGCCGTCAAAGTTTGCGAAACTGACTTCTCTTCTCCAAGTCACTGGGGTCTGCGACATGTGCAGCAAAGGCTGCATTCTTCTCATACAACAATCGCCGCATTGTTCTTGACAGCTGGGCGGGAAATCTGATTGTCAACGCGCGCCTGTTTGCCACAAATCGTGCTTGGGAACGACCCTGCGAGCCTGTTGCCAGGGCCCAGCCGAAAGCTGATGAAATCGCGCGTCAGACATCACGTGCGTTGCCACGCCTCGGGTAGGCGGAGGAAGGCTGGAGTGCCCGAGCAAAAGGGTGAAGTGGACAGACGGAGCGGACAAGCATGTGTGGACAGTGGGTTTATAGCCAAATCCGCCTGGGGATGTTTGGGAGGTTGGTGAAACCGACATATAAATATGAGCGTTCTCTGTCCCAATACAACTCTGGTCTGCTGAGTCTTCTTCTGTCTTCGTTCCTGTCGGGTTTGCCAAGACGTCAAACAGAGTAGGCGTAAGGGCGCAGATTTACTAGCAGGCGTAACTCAACCGGTCGACTGTGTGTACAGCGTTATAACAGTGGCGACGCAAGTACAACCGAACCCAGAAATGGCAATCAGTTTTGAACAATCGCAGATGCTGTTGCAGCAACAACAGGCGCAGTTTGAAGTATACCAAGTCAAGCTGATCGAGATGCTGACTCGGAAGCTGACAGTGCAGTCAAGCGCAGGGTTAGCGAAAACTGAAAGTGCTCCCTCACCAGAAACCCTGACTCAGCAGATCAGAGGTCCATTATGATGCTGATGCCGGTATAACATTTATTTCTTGGTTCCACAAGTATGAAGACATGTTCCGGGTTGATTTCGCCAACCTTACAGCGGAAAAAAAGATTCGACTAATGCTGCGAAAGCTGGGTGCTGCCGAACACGAGAAGTTCACCAATTTTATCTTACCTAAAAGGAGTACCGATTTGTCGTTCGATGAAGTGGTTGCAGTCCTGTCGCAGATTTTCGGGGAGCAGACATCGTTGTTCAACATCCGGTTCATGTGTCTGACAATAACAAAAATGAAGGCGAAGACTTGGTTGACTATTCCAGCCGTGTGAATCGCGTGTGCGAACGGCCAAAACTAAACAAGATGACAAGTGATCAGTTTAAATGTTTCATATACGTTTGTGGCCTACAAGAATCTAAAGACGCCGACATTCGAACATGAATACTGAACAAAATTGAGCAGAATCCGGATGTCACATTGCAGCAAGTGACCGGCGAGTGCCAACACATGACGAATCTGAAGCACGATACCGCAATGATTCAGCAGTTGTCCAACGACAACGATCAAGATTTTGTCTGTGCCATCAGGCGTACTCCGCAACAGGAAGCTCCCCACATGAGTTCACCGCATTCTAAACCTCCCACTGCATGTTGGTTTTGTAGCGAGTGGCATTTTGCCCTCGAATGCCCATTCAAAACTCACACTTGCAACCGCTACGGTAGAAAAGGGCATAAGGAGTCATGTAGCCTGGCGACTCGTCCAATTTTGACCAAGAAGATGCGTAACAATGCCAGATTGTTCCGGCGTACCAATTTGACCCGATCTATCACCACAACTTTGAAGGTTGACGGGGCTAACAAGCGCAAATACACAATTGTGAAAATCAACGGTTTCTAAGTCAAGTTACAAATCGACACGGCTTCAGATATCACCCTGATATCTCGCGACACTTGACGCATGCTGGTGCGACCGACACTCATACAAACGGACCACACGCACGGAATGCTTCATGAGGTACGTTAAAATTGCTTGGTGAACTGAATTGTCAGGTGAATTTTCACGACAAACAAATCCAGACGATGTTTCTTGACAGACCAGCCGGGGTTAGATTTACTGAGGCTCGACTGGATCGATGAACTGAAACTGCTTGATCAATTAGGGAACAGCATATGTGAGCCACCGCAAGTCAATCTGCTGTCGCAACCATCGACTTCAAGGCCGATGTTTCAAAGCCAGATTACTGAGATAAAACGACGTCACGATGCATTGTTCCAACCTGGTCTCGGATGCTGCAACATAGCTACTGCCGCATTGAACGTTAAACCAGACGCCAAGCCAGTCTTTAGACCAAGACGCCTGATGCCCTACACAACCCAGTCCTTAGTGGAAGCCGAGTTAAACCGACTACAATCTGAAGGGATAATCGAACGAGTTCACTATTCAGAATGGGCAGCGCCTGTCGTGGGGGTAAAGAAGGGAAACGGTAAAGTCCGTATTTGTGCTGATTTCTCGACAGATTTGAATTCTGTGTTGGAAGGTCATCAGTATCCCCTGCCGGTACCAGAAGACTTGTTCAGCAAACTCAATGGGGGGAAATGTTTCGCACGGATTACATTTCGAGAACTGAATCGAAGTGGACTGCTTTGGCACTCGAATTGCCTGCGTTATTACACCTACGATATTACACCCGACGTGTGTTGTTCGTCAGCACTTCGCGAAATTACACGATGCCTTGAGGTATTCATTCGAAGTGATGGTTAAAAGGTGTGAATAAGCCGAAATGCTAAACCATATTACTGTGTACTGCCCGCGACTGGCCACGGTAACAATATAGTTGAGTAGCTGACTCATTGAATCTCGTTTTCGATTTCGTGCCTCCTACCGCTAACGACTAACTTTTACCTCGATAATTTCTGTGGACCTTTTCTCATTTTCCTCATGATGACACTAATCATGGCAACCGGATCCATCATAATTGACGAACTAAATTGAATGTTGGCAGATACTTTATTTGTACAAGCGGCCTTTTGGTTACAGCTGAATGCCGTCAATCGGAACACGTAATTTAGATAAGCTTACGTCTCCTGGCTCGTTACTTCACCATCCATCAGTCAGTCCTAACCTTTGCCCTACACTGGGCAAAGCGGCGATATCTGGGTCTAGTATGTAAACTGGCGCACTATCAAAACAGATCACATTATTTACTTCTGTCCGACGAAGAAATGAGCAGACACCTCCGCGATTCACTGTTTCGAAATCAGCCTCTTAATCCACCGGATTCCCTGTAAACATCAGCTTTCGTCACTACGTGCACAAGACAAACCTGCTCTTACGCTACGCAAACGAGAGTATGAAGTAACCCATTTCCACATCTTGAAGAAGTACATCAGCCAGTCGCCTTGAAGCAATATCGTGCACATATGGAACGACGCAAACGATTGTATCACTAAGAGCTGGTTGGTTTAATAAAAGGCTCTCGAACTGCTCCTCCATGGACGCACGGTGCACTGCAACCGATAACACAAAATAGAAATGTACTCTATTCTTCCTAAACCCATACGGATACGTAACTGTTGTTGTTTCTTCGAAATGCACACATGGCTGTATGGCAGTAGTCTTTGTTGACATGTTCCCACGAATAAACCCTTGCGCCAAGATGCCTAAGATCAACGCAAGTTAGACATCGTCGTAGATTGCTAACAACCGCGTAAGCTATTGAACTAGAACGGCTTATGCTGTTGCTTATGTCTTCTATAGGGTCGTTGATCGCCTACTTTGGCTGCTGTTGCACCAAATTGGGTGAAAGCGTAGGGTAGTTACTAGATAAAGGGGTATAAAACCATGGATAAAGTAACCGAAAGACTTGATCAAGATAGTGCGTTGTCTCTTCGTGGATGGGGCATCGATTCGGTCCACATCGTCGGTTAGAAATCCTGTCGCACATGGCGCAGTCCGGAAGTCACTGGCGCCATTGGACTCACTTTCCTGCTTCTGACCGTAAATGTCTCATCTCTACTGAGTTAACACACTTCTTTCCCGTCTTCATGTTCTTTGCATTCTCTTTGTTTCCCACCTTGTTTTTTCCATCGTTTCTACTTATTGTCATCCTGTAGCAACTAGGTCGACCGCACTTCGAGGCCCGGATCATAGTATGAGCTAAAACCCGAGATCAGTAGGAAAAATGCTTGGAAAGACCGATGCGGTGAATGGTATGCGCAGGTGCTAATTTTTTTGCTGTGTTTTTCATTCAACTTCACTAGGTGGACCCAATGAACCAGAAAAACAATGACCGTTCGCTAGCCGGAAAATTCAACATACCGAACTCTCTATTATTTTCCTGTTGTTTTCACCACTCTTCCTTGTTTTCGTCCAATCAGGTTGAAAATCATTTGTAAACTTTTCCTATTGACTTTGTGCTAGTGAATATTTTTCGACTTATTTTCTATATTTCTTGATTGAACACACTACATAATCTGATTGTGTTGCTCGCGGTGTTATACATATATGACATACTAAATCAAACTATATCTTGGTACAGTAAGCGGGTGCGATACGTCGGTGGATTCTATCACAGGTGCTGAATGAAAGGAACTCACCCCACCTAGCTCGATGGTCGGGAGGGTTCCCACCAAAGGTGACGATCTGACTGAGTGTAACCGGCGCACGTAGGAAATAATTCGTTGAGGCTTATCGGGTGTGTTTGATCTTTCGGGAATCCACCGTACTTCGCCCATACATTTGACGAGCCTGCAATCGAAAGAACACAATACTCCCAACTGGCGAATGGGGATCCCATCGATCCACACCTGTTGCTGTGACTATAATCTGGTGGGATGGGAACAATCAAAATAGCTTTATCATTGCGAAATAAAGTCAAAATTTTGCAATATTGGAGGCAGAAGAAAATGGAGGGACGCTAGTGAACTTAGAGGAATCGCATCTGCGATTGCTCGCTGATCAGGAGCGCTCAAGATGAGCCACACAAATTGCATCAATCCAACGAAAGCTTCTGTAATCCTGGCGGTACAATTGTTTCACGGTTCCTAGTGCCACTTGATTTGAGGGCTTGTTCTACCAACGAAACTGCATCAAGCGCGGTGCCCCAGCTGAGTGTGATCCCCATTGAACCGTGACCATAGTTGTGGATGATTGGTACCCGACGAGAGGAGCAGTCGTCATGCAGCCAATCCAACTGCAAATCAAAGTAGATTCATTCGAAATACAAATGGAAAGTCTTCGGAAGAGGAAAATAATAATTAGTTCGCGGTATTCCGCAGAAATTTGCGATAAGGTAAACACTCACTTCCAGACGAACAACATTGCGAAAGGGCCTTAGGCCAGTCCACTCTTCTAGTATGGGAGCTTTGTTCAATCCGCCGTGCCACAAGGTGCCTATTCGATGAAGTATATCCTTCGTTGCCTCCTTGGATATCTCAACATCTTTCGGACTTAATGGTTGGTCGATAGGACAGGGTAGTGGGGTTCGAAAGCCGCCCAAAATGACGGACTCTTTTCCGACGAATGCGTGAGTTGTATTCGGCTGTGGAACAATATAGATAGATTTTTAATAGAATTATTTATGTAGAATAATGATGAAGCTACGAAAAACCGAAGGAGGCAAAAAGAAAACGGGGACTACTAGAGGAAGTACTGTAAGGAGAACTGTAGTATACAGGATCATTTCGGATTACATTAACATAGGAAATTTACACAACTGTCATAGAAAACATAAAATCTCGGTAGACTGAACAAATCCTCGCTGGAATTACAGCTCTGAGATTGATCGTCTGGACCAATGCATGGCACACCAACGATGTCGCCGCCATGAAGGTTAACTTTGTGTAGAGCTGAGACACTATATGTTAGCGGAAATTAGACGCCCGGTGTTTTGCTGTTCTCCGCAAACAGCATAGGAGCCTTGTAGCAAATGGTTTAGAATTAGTATGTTCGAACAAAATCATAAACGAGAGTAGGCAATATGTGAGCGAAGCCATTTACCATGATGACGGTGGTTGATTGCTACCGGAATCGACACAGTCCGCCACAGATGGACCCATTCATGCGTATGGGTTGCTGGTAAGTTTCGGTTTTGACCAGAAGGAAGAGAACTAGATTCATAAAATGACATTTATTTAACATATTCACCCTCGAGACTGCGTATTTGCAGTTTGTCTAGATCGGTTAGGTAGCAGTCATTTGATTGTGCTTCAAACCGGAAGTCAGAAGCGTGTTTGACGTCAGAAATATCTTCGAAACGTCGCCCCTTCAGATATTTCTTCAAGTTCAAGTCTGAAGGAGCCAGATCAAGTGGTGCACCACTTGGAAACCCAAGGTGTTCAATTTGGCAGCCAGAATATTGGATGTGTGCGCAGGTGCATTGTCATGCAAAAAAGATGTCTTTTGTTAGCTTTCTACTGCGTCTCCTTTTAATCACCCAGTTCAGCTGGTTCAAGTCAGCGGAATATTGTCTGCTGATACTGCAGTCTGAGGTGGTCAATCAACAGAACACCGCCTTTGTACCAGAAAACGGACACCATGACATATTATTAGGGGACTTCTTCGACCACAGAGACTGTGGCACTATTCCTTTAACTGTTTTTTTTCTTTTCATGGTCATATATGTAAAGTCAGATTTCAACCTCAGTTACGAATCTAATCAAAAAGTCCTAAGCAGCTTTTCAGATGATTCAGCTAGTTTTTGGGCAAACATTTTGGCACCCACTTTGCTGGAAGCTTACGAGTGTTCAAGATAACAAACCCTACTCGTCCATTTGGAATGTCCAATATTTCGGCTATCCTTTTAGCGGATATTCGCCGGTCCATAATCAGTTCATGGACAGCTTCACAGACTGTTGGGTCAGTTGAGGCTCACCTTGAATGTTGAAACAACATGTTCAAATCTTGACAGCGCTGTAGGAAGGATACTTCTCCCCCAGTGTTTGTAACATCGTGAGTTTTCTTAACGGATCTTTTCTGGAGAAACAAATACTTCATGACGACCAGCGACACAATCGAGGTGAAACGTGCTTCTTTCTTTACCATTCTAACCAAAAAAATAATTTGTTAGAATTAATTACACCTGAAATTTGCACATCTAGGTACTGAGTTATTAAGGTATCATATGCTTTCACACTTATTTTGTCTGATAGGGAGCAAATCCGAAAACTTATCAGCACCTGGTACAGTCGCCGAATACAGTGAAATTGCCGAACTCGGTGACAAAGCATACTTATTCCGAAACGTACTGAACTTCTTCAAATCGCACTTAAGATCAGTAACTGCGCATGCTAACATATAATGTCATAAGATAGCTACATAAGTCGTGCTTCTGAGGCCATTGTTATCCTTTGCAAACAATCAGCACGCATAGCAGTGGCGGATAAGTCGCGTTCTATCGCAAGTTCATCAAAGTCATCGTTGCTATCCAAGTCCCAGTGGGATAAGTCGCTAACCAAGAGCGGGCTGTTCGCACGATTCAAAAGGCGTTGCTAACGATTCCAACTAACAAGAAGCGACAGTTTAGCGCCTTTTTGAGGCTGTGGTGGCTAGCTCATTAAGTCTCCACACTTCTCAGTGGTTAAGAAAACAGTGACATCCAATCAAGTCGAGAATCACTTCTCCAATGGGTGAGAGGTATCAGCAGAATGGTATTCACGCTAAATATGAAGCAACCCATTTCGAATTGGAGTTCGGCCGCGGTGACAAACTTCAAATTTACAGCCGACTTGAAATACGCTGATAAACACACGGATTGCTTCATGGAGATACAAACCAGATTGACACACAGTATGAAACCGGTGAAACATTTTCAGTTTAGACAGTGTGCGAAGACAGATGATGAGCGGTGTGTTCACAAACCAGGAATATACTGCACTACTTTAGCGTCTATCTCTCAAACGTTAACTAACCTCGGGCGACATGCTGACTGCCAGATGACAGTTGTCGTGGCTAGGATAAAGTGGTGCTAACTACTCCAGATTGCGAACTGTCCGTTAGAACCGAAACTCGAGCGGATTGGATCACCATCGAGGCACGCCAAGTCACATGATCCTGTATTTAGTTCGTAAACTGAAAACAATGAAATGATGAGGCTATTTGTTCGAAATGAGAATTCCAATGGGGTTTTTAGCTAAAGGCTATCAAGCATCACTTGCAGTGATGCACAAGCTTCAACTGAGTAGAATCTCGTCGGTAAAGTAATGCGATTGTTTACTTACCCCGTGATCTACTAAGTAGTCATCATCACTTTCCAAGTAACTCCAGAACCATACATATGAAACACGTCAATGGCGGAGGCCAAAAAATCCCAGTCTCATTATCTAAACTTCAGTGGTGAGACAGCGATTTACACGCCATAAGGGTGGTTTAATCGGCGTAGGTGGTGAGTGTCACAAGAGGTTTTTTTACAATGAGGCATCGTGACTATTGCCCACATGCCTGTTACCGCCTGTACCAAAACCGGTGGCTCCTGAGTACTGAAGGCGCACAACTGTGCTGTAGTCAAGGGCGCATTACATTAAATGGTCAATAAGCAAACATGAGGCTGCGTGTGTTCAACCATGGAGGGAAGCTTAGCGGAATGGAGAGGGAGCGGAAGCTCACAGCACAAATACTATTGCGGTCGACTCCTCGCCATTCAGCCAAACGTGTCCTTAGTACTCCAACCCGGCCTTGACTGAGACCATGTTAGAAGCGAGAGCCTTCACTCCTCTGTAGGAAGTCACCAGCTGGCCTTCCATCCTCTTCTTCCACCTAGACGCCGGTCGCACAAACAACGCACGTCGCTGGAGTCGGTGTATCCGTATGCGCAACACATGGCTCAGCCATCGGACCCTGGTAGGTGAGGTAACACTTCTGAGTTTGGATTGCCCTGTTTGCAACAAAAGCAAGGCGGCAAAGGCTCACTGCTCAAGTAGTGTCCCCACCTCATAAGACCTAAATTGCGAAAGCCTACACTCTCTCAACCAAAATATGTGCTATCGTACAACCCTTCCAATCAAAAATATGTTCTGACGATCTGATACTACTATTGGTAGGTAAAGAATAGAAGAGAGCGTTCAAGGTCACCAAGAACACATAAATAACGGTATTCTGAGCCATGTCTTATATTGGCCGCAATTAAACCGGTTACCCAAGTCTTGCCTTCTTTATCAACCTAATGGAGGGGTCAGATCCCAGACAAAAGCGTACCGAGGTTTCGCTGCCGCGCAACCGTCACCAGTCGCGCGAAGGGTAATGGTATTGCGATCGGAGCCCGGTCCCCTACGCACGCTTGAACTCGCGACCTCCGGGTTGGAAGGCAGATGCTTTATTCTTACGGCCACGGGCCGGGTTACAGAACAGCCAATCAAAGCGACACTGAATGACCCTGTTGACAATAACAGTAAATGACCTTCCTCTTACTTCTGTGGTCTTTGGAGAATCTGTATATTCTAAAGGCTAATGTCAAATATATTTCGTTGTTTTAGTTTAGGGCTGAATGCATTTTGCATCATTGTACAAAAAGTGCTAGCACTGCATACGCCATGTAACCAAGCGGATCACATCTCACATCTGTCCTACTGGTAGGAAAAAATGGAAAATAAGAAGAACGATTTTCTATAGATATGCTGGTGTGCCCATGCGAGCTGCCCAGAGGCTATGGTCGTTGGAAAAAACTCAGCAAATGACTGTTTAGAAAAGCAAATGAAACGGTGCTCAAAATTCGGACAGAGTGGAACGTTTGTCATGGTTTCAGTTACGGGCATCAAGAATTGAAATCTACTTACCCTTACGCACTGAGGGGCCCCCTTGATTGGTGGCAGAAGGTCTGCAATCAAATCGCTCAACTCGGAGAATCTATCAAGACTTCAACCACCAACCAGAACTACCGGCGTTTAGATTTAGTACAAAAATTACAACGTGTCAGTGGGCTGTATATAGCAAAATTAACAATTACATAAGTATACCACCAATGGTTCCGTGACTCACCCCGTAGATTCCGAATTTCATCCAGGGAGCCACAACACGAACCAAATGGCCACGTATTGGTAGGATATTACGATCACCGCAAAGAGTGCCTGCGCCCAAGCCTGTACAATTCAGCACAACGTCCATATTCTCACGGATGGCCCATTTGTACACTTGTTGTAATGAACTCATGGGAGCTAGTCCATCAAAAATTCGACTCGAAGCTGTTGAAGACTGCTGGTTCAGCTTTGATCGTAAATATGGCATATGATACCTCCCTTCAATCATGCAGGTGACGTAAAAATATCCTAAGTTAACATTTGTGGAAAATCCCAGCATATGAAGCTAGACCGATATTGATAAATGAAAGCACAGAAAGGCACCTCATCTTCATCCACAATCTTCTCCTGGCCACAAAAAGACGCCTCGAATGGAGTTCGTGGCGGGCGATCAGCTAAAACTTTTATCATCGGTTGAAAGAATACGCCCGCAGCATCGGAATTCGGACTAGCAGCAATTTGCCAAAAGTGACTTTTGGAATGGTTGCACCAACGCACAAATGGGCACTCCGGACAACATTCCACGGTGCTACAACACACCGCACCCGGCATCATTTCTGGATCTGCTCGGAATCCGCCCGCAGCTCCATGACTCACAAGTTTGCTGATGTCCTCAGGAGAATAAATCAGCAATTCTGCGTTTCTGTAAGTTTCCTGAGAATCCTGCTTGAAAACCCAAAAATACCTGTAGAGCAACGGCAGTGGAAAGACCAACCATGCCGCCACCTAAAATTCCAAATCGAGGCATGGTGATCAGAGAAGCGAAAACTAAGCTGTGTAATGATGATTCTGGACGATTTCCGTGAGCGTTACACCGCAACGGCGGAAAATAGGTCCGTGCAAAAATAGTAGTAATCGGAATATACCGATCTAATGTGTGATAAGCAGCGATCCGAGCGAAACTACTTCATAGATCTGAAATAGTAGAAAGTACGTCTCTGAGACAAACAACAAGACCAAGCCCAGTGCCACACAGCGCCGGGTAAGCTATAACTTACTAGTGTGAACAAATATGTAATAAAAAGCACAAAAAGAAGGAACCGCAGCGTGGTGCGATAGGTTGCGTACTTACCCGGTCCATCCGGTCATACTGGGTAGTATTTTTGGGTATTCGGAGAGTCAGTCTCACTAGACCGAATATTGGCTAGATATGGAACAAATGTCCCAATACCCCAGGTTGAGAGTGAAAACCGAGATGACAAACGCACCCATCGTGTCAAATCACATAAACGTTTGATAAGCTGATCACCCTCTTACTTGAATCAGAAGTCCTAGTGTTATCGCAAATGATATTTAAGTGTGATTACTATGCCCAAGGTCAAACACATGAAGTGTCCATGCATTCACTGTTTCAAAGTATTCCTCTATTCCGCTGAGCAAACCAGACATGGTAGGCGTAGGCAGACCGCCACCGAAACCTCATCTTTCGTTTGTCTCTTGCGACTTTTGATTACATATCATGCTGGACCGCTGCCGTCTGTCCATCCACACACACGCCCATAAATAGTGCGCAATAGCCTTCAATTCACCAAGCCGGCCCGTGGTCTAAAGGATCACAAGCCTGCCTTGTGATCTGAGGGCGCAGGTTCGACCTGCGTAGGGGACCACGGCGACCTACGCAGTATCTTTAGCTCACGTGTGACTGGTTGTGGTTGCACGGCAGCGAAGCGTTGGTACTGCGTACCGGCGTATTGCCAATACATTTTTTGGCAATCCACCAAAACCGATCATCGGATAAATGCCACCAGATATCTGGTTGCACTCAACTCATGTATCATGAGGCCTGGAGTAGTATATATTGCACTTACACGAACACTTAGTAGCACAAACATGGTATTGAATCTTCAGGGGTAGGTGGCATGATACTTAGGTGGTTATGGGATCAAATAAGCCGTGCTTCATTTCGGTATCCATCGCACATGCCAGTGGATGTTGTTGCAGTATTCGCAACAAAAGCAAACGTAATGCATCTGCGATATGTGCTGGTGCATATCTACCACACAACAACAGTGATCCTAATAACGAAGGATAAAAATAGGCGAGGAAGAGCACAGAGCACAATACGTAGACACTCTAAGCAAACACTCATGATTAAGCCCCCCACATATCATCAACAGCGCAGTCCCAGATAGCTAGTTATCTCGAGAAGCTAAAGTGTCCCCGATAAGATCATGAATTTTGCGTTTTCACTGCTCCGAGTCAGAACGAACCTCACACCGCAACACCAATACCGAACGTATCCCTTCAGACTCCTGCCTTTTTATTGTACGAAACACTGAACAAGTTGTATTGGAACAGAGGACACCAGACCCAACAATGTCAGGTCATTATGTTAAGAAGGTAAAAGTTTTTAGAAAAAAGTGACCGACCGAAAGTGCTTGTGAGATAAGCAATAGCAGCGATGACTTCGTACGTACGGATTGTGAGAATGCACTATCTCTATGCTGCACATGGATGCTTGCTAGGCAACTGCGCACTTGTCTTCGGACTACGAGTTTTGTTTCGGTCTTAGTGCATAAGTACGAGGTTTTGTTACTTCAATGGCGCTATCCGGTCTAGGTTTTCAAACATGTTTTAACTCATCATCATCATTATACACGTTAACTGCGGGTGGAGAACACCTCAGTTATCGTGGCGCAATACCGCCTGAGTCACCGGTAACGGATGGACAACGCTACGGAGAGCTAACAGCCGACTATTGTGTCCAAAAATGTCATATTATGTTTATAACTGATATCATGGTTGGAGAGAGAAGCTAAGCGAGAGGGGGAGGGAAAGGAAACTAACAACACGAACGCCATTGAGGTCGGCTCCTACCCATGTCAACAAGTGTATCCAGCCAAACGAGTTCATGGTCCTTCGGACCCAAACCACGGAGCCGAGGCTCCAAATGAGGGCAACTTCGAAATAAGGGCCTTCATTCCTCTTGACCAAGTCATCGTTTGGCCACCTCTCTTCTTCTATCCACACCCGCAGCACGCAAACAACACACGTCGCAGAAGTCGGTGGGCCATCATGCGTAACACGTGGCCGACCCATCGGAGCCTGGTGCGTGAAATAACGGTGCTGAGCGGTTCGCATCTTCTTCCTGCACTATAAACAAGGCGTCGAACACGCTCATTGCGCACACGGTGTTCCCACCAGATATGAGCCATACTGCGAAGGTACTGGTGGTCGAACGTAACTAGTCTCTTTATGTCCGCTGATCTAAGGGGCCAGGTTTCACAACCGTACGTGCGGCTGCATTGTACACTCTACCCTTCATGGAGAGTGATATCGCGCCGGCGCCCTAACTGGCGAAGGTTAGCAAAAGTGCCCCATGCTTTTGCTATACGGTTTGTGACCTTATCTTTAATTTCAACGGCGCTGATACAACTTCCCAGGTAGTTGAACTTTCGAACGACTTCTAGCTGGTCCCCACCAAGGGTAAGCGAAGGAAGTGGCTCCTGCCAATCTGGGAGGAAAGCTTTACACTTCAAGAGTGCAAAGCATAGCCTGAAACGGTTGACAGCCAATGCTAATCGGTCCAGAGCTGCTTGGCACGTCTGGGAGCTGTCAGAGATAACGGCAATATCTTCATCATAATCCAAGTCCAGAAGTCGTTCACCTAGGAGCAACTCCAGACATTCTAAATCGTGTACTGTGGACGGGATTTCAATAAAGAAATTGAAGAGAAAAGGTGACAACGGGCATCCTTGTTTTACACCGCTAGAGGTGTTGAAGGGCGGCGACAGCTTGCCGTAAACTCTCACTATGCCCGAGCTACGCGCGTAAAGCGCTCGCATATTAGTTACATACTTTTTGGGCACACTTTTCCTTACCAAACGGTCCCAAAGCGTATGTCAATCCACTGAATCTAAGGCGCCTTTCATGTCTAGGGAGATGACAGTGATGGGCCACCAATGTGTGACGGTGCCCCAACAACTGACCTAACGTGAATATATCGATGCATCCCCGACCACAACGAAACCCGGCTTGCTCCTCACAGATCTTGATTTCACGAGCGCCAATCAGTCTGTGAAGGATTACAGAGGAAAGTAAATTAGAGGCAATTGTGATCAGACATATTCCTCTATGAGTGCCGCATTCCGAGCGTGAGCCTCCTTTGAAGATCGGGACAATAACGGAGCGACTCCAGTCGGTTAGGACAGTCTCCTGCTCCCACAGTTTCACAAGTAAATCATCAACAAAAGCAGGGTCCTCGAATGTGAAAAGGGCTGGTTGATGACCATCTGTTCCCGCGGGTCTATTCAACTCCAACAGTCGAATCTCAGGTTCGACTTCTGAGTGAGAGAGCGAATCCAAAGGGACAGCCTGTTGTAGCAGGGCGATCAGCCGGTGAGAAATCTAACAATTCCGGCTGATTGAATTGTTTTTCAAAATGCTAGACTCAACGCTCCGAACGTTTCGACAAGTTGTGGATAGGCTGTCCACTCTCGTCGTAAATTGTTTCACTAACACCAGGTCTCCTGCTGCTCGTTTCCCGTACGAAAACGGAACAAGTTCCGATGGTTACCAACATCAGCGGCCACTTCCATCTCTGACGCAGGATGAGATCACCAGGATTCGCGTTCTTTCTTCAGACTATCACATAGTTTTGCCCTGATGTCTTTGCGAGTCTCGTTGTGTTTGCTTCCAATGGAATGTCGGCGAGCCTGGATAAGTTCCAGAGACTGTAAAGAGACCCAATGTCTATTTTGGCTAGTGAATTTACCACATGGTGATTTACCTGCTTCTAGTAAGATCCGGTGAACATGCGACCAGTGACCCTCAACTATATTCAGTGAGCGCTTATTCAATCCGAACGCCGGCGTACTTCGATATGCATTCAAAACACCCGGTTTTGCCTGTTTGCTGGTGTCTATGCATTCACAGGTTCGTCGAGAGTGACCGCCGAAACGCACCCGCAGATCATCATATACAAGTGCATGGTCAGTGTCCACACTTGTGCTCCAAATCGAGCGATAAATGATCGCGATGTGATCGATTTGCGTCCATCACTTGTTGGACGCTGGTGAGCGCCATGTCACTTTCCGAAGAATGCTGCGTCGGAATTTAGTGCTCGAAAGAAACAAGCGAGCCATTTCATACTAATGAAGTAACCGCTCACCGTTATCATTACGGAAGCCTATACCACGTTGGCCGGCCAGATGCAGCTCATTAGACGACAATTTCCCAACTTGAGAATTTAGATCCCCGGCAAGCACAACAGTGTCCGTGCTTCATCTGTGGTGAAGGAGCTCGTTCAGCTGACGATATGAGTCGTACTTTACCGAGTCGTGGCTACAGTTTGTAGGGGCGTAGACAGCGAGCACAGACACCTAGTAGCCTTGTGCGACTTCGAAGCTTTGAACGAGCCAGCCAGTCGGACCGCACACATCCGGCTACTGATTGAGATCCAGTCAACCAGAGCAGTTTCAGCCCTGGGACTCAGGGCAATACCAACACCGGCTTGATCGGTGCTCGAAGCTGCATCGTCACCGGATAGGCGCAATGAGAAAGTGCTGCTAGTGTCACCTGAAGGGGATTGCAAAGTGAGTACAAAGCTCGGATCTTGCAGGCAGTTCTCCGATAAGCAGCAGTTATAGATGAAGAGGGTCTCTAATGTTCGGGCAAGTGATGCCTGTTGACCGAGCTGTAACAATGTGCGTACCTTGAGACATGTCAATCTGAGGGAGGATCAGGGGCCCCAAATAATACGTTGACTGCTTGGTTAGGCATGGGCTTGTCGATAGAGCAGCAGTGACGTACCGCGTTTGCATGTGAATTAAAACTAGAAGATAAACGCCTATAAAAGGAGCGTGAGGGAAGGCCAAGAATTGGGGGTTGAGAACGGAGGGGATAAAAGTAACGGAGCGGGAGGACAAGGGTGAAAAAGCCTAAGGGGGGAATAGGAAGACATAAGGACAGAACAAT